GTGTTCATTTGCAAGATCACACTATGGCTTATGTGAACAAATGGATGATTGCAGTGATTTCGATGATCTACGCCATTCACTTGATGCCATCATTGAGTATAGCATGACGAACTAATCCACCCACAACCCACGTTCCCATCGATTATGCACCTGTCGTAGCGCTAATGAGTGTGTGAGGTTGAAAGACACTGAACTTCAAGAAGACTTTCTGTGCTCTCAATAGTGGTGTTGATGAATTTGTCTTGTACTACCCGTCTCGGCATGCAGGAGCAGTCACGCTTTAGTTTATACCTCGACCTTGCAAATCTCTGCATAAATCGCGCCAGTAAAACTGACTGCTCTCTTCGTTTCTGACAGTCAAGCACCTCAAATAGGTACTGGCAATTTTACACGCCCCGCCAAACATTTGTGTTGGCACTCTTTTGCACTTAGTAGTCGTTTAAGTGTGCACTTCTGGGCATCGTTTTTGTAGGCACCGGCACTTCCCCACCAGTGCACTTTACAGTGTATCTTTTCTGATTTAACCTCCACTGCAGGCATGCAGAGTTGGTTTTGTTACAGCGATGAAGTCAATCTTAGCACCGCTTTTCCTCACATTATTTCACTAATCTGTGCGGAAGGGTGGAGGGCGTCAGCAACAACAGAAGCTTCACAAAGCCATCGATGGTCAGACTCCAAATTATTGGCTGCTCCGATTTACCTCCACTTCTTTGCTCCTCACAGTTCTACATCGACCTCAACAGTTTGTGACCTTGACGCGCAATTGGTAGCGCACAACAGCGTTCATTGGTGGAAAATCAATACCTCAGACCAGTGCAACTGACGCTCATATCGACCAGAGCGGATAAGTAAGCAGTGAGGCTTGGATTGAGGTGTCACATCGTCCAAATTAGAGCCACTCAAGAACCCAATGAGTGGCAGCTCACCCACGGTTGCATCACAAGTTGGTACCACAGGCTCCCCTTCCTAGCGGCCGTGCCTCCACCACCAATCCTGCTTCAGCAACAGTTGCGATGCTTGGACAAAAGCTTGTGTACGTCAGCCTCACATCTTCTGCTGCAACAGATGTATTACATCTTCGCAACTCAACTCGTGTTCGAGATTGATCACTATCGGTCACAACTTAAACATGAAACAAACACCGATGCCTACCACTCACGTTGGAGCATATGTTTTACAACCGCAGCAACACAACTCTTTGAAATGTTTAGAGCAAGACAACGTAGCTTCTGGTACACTTGCTGATGGTTCGCTAGAACTGGTAGAAGTAGACCGACGACGAGCGGACTAAGGTTTATTTGAGGAGGAGAGGCATGTGGACAAGCAGTGGCGATGGGCCCATCGTGGAACGCAACAGCTGGAAAGTTGGATGAGTTGATGAAACAATTCTGGACTGACAGGTTAGCTCTCCATCAAACACTTCGTCAATCACGGTCGATTTTACTGTCAATTGGAGACTTCACTGACCATCTTCACACACGTAAGTTTAAACAGAAAATTACTACTAGAGCCTTTGTGACCTCGGATGATGGGAGTCCAATGACGTTGAACACCTCCCTCAATCCGAACCCATTTGAGACAGCGTCTTACGTGGTCACTACAAGGCATTTGCACTGAGCAAAGTGACACTAAAGCACTCTCTATAGGGTTCACCGTGCTGACAGTGGGATCATTCCTACCTCAAAACATCCCTTTGGTCTGCAGAAGGGAGCACGTATACTTGAGCAGTGAACACTGGTGCCCACCAATTGCAATGCGTTGAGTGGCAATGTACTGCCCCCTCAACACGTTATTGGCCAGAAGCCTGAAAGCCCACCCTTTCTAAAACAATAATGAAGCGCTGTGATGCTACTTTGAGGTTAAAATGAAGGCTTGAGAGAGGCTTGTGCCGTCAATGCCAGCTACAGGAATAGGCCAAAGGCAGCCCGCACGATAGCATACCACACGACAAAGTACGTCCCTTGCAGCACCCCACTTCATTCAACTCACTTTGTCGATGTCATGATGCTTCAAACGCGAGTAGAGTAGGCCCTGACTACGCCATAAGACGCCTTTTACTAGGGCCTGAGTTGTCGCTTGCATGTCAAGCATGCAGCATCTCGAGCACATTTTATTGGCTGGCTTCAACCAGTGCACCATGCTGATTGGTTAAGCTCCTGCATAAACTGATTTGTAGGATTTGGCGATGCGGCACCACGGTCCCAATCAGTTGTTTGGGATGCAGTGGAGCGATGGCTTCGGAGGACGCAGACCTTATTTGTGGGGTGTGCAAGAAGTTGTGAGTTTCTTCACTCACTACCTTTACTATGGCCACAAACATTTTAAAGATAGGTGCCTTTTGTATGAGTAACATTGGTTAAACTGAGTAGACGGATGAATAACTTACGTCAGCAGTTTATTTAAAACAGGGTTGTCGTCAATATTATTAAGCAAAAGAGTGATCAATATATACGCTAAAATGGGGATCGCAGTGGTGAATAAAAGTGGTCCATTTATAAAGCACTAATAGCAATGTATTTTGTCTCAACTCTTGTAACCGGAAGGATGCGTGACCCCTACATTCTACCATGCGGACATACTTTCTGTTTGCACCCTTGTCTGCTGTCAGACACCAAAGGCAAGACAGTGGACTGTGTCTACTGCCACAAGGTTTTTGACGCTGCAAAAATGCGTCCCAACAACAACGTCACTGTGCGAAGTCGTCTCTTCTCATTGCAACAGAAGCAGGAGCAGACGCAGGCTGCACTAATGGAGGAAGGAGAACGAATTGAGATGGGGACACGGATCGGTGATTGTGGACTCAGTGCATGCTGTGGTAGCTGTCTGAAGCATATCAGTTCCCAAATATTGGTCCTTTGCCAACATTGCCAGAGTCAAGTGTGTACGCAATGTCTTAAGATTCACCGCAGCAGCGTAAGTATCCTTCATGTCCATTCTATTATGCTAGTCATTCATTCGCCCGGAATTTGGGGCATACACAACTTTTGCTGCACCTCTGATTGGCTTATGAGTAGAACTTGAGGGAGAGGGAAACAGTTTGGTGACCTTTACGGAACACGTCTGTTTTCTTTCCCGTGCTTAGTCCATCCTGTCGCTGCGTATGAAGCTGGTTGCCCTGTCTTCCCACGAAACAAACTTGAAGAATCAACGGCAGCGGTTGAAAGAATCGAGAACTACGAAATTGAGGGCCGAAGGTAGAGCAAAGAAGAACATAAGTGATGCCATAAAACAGGCGGTGTCGGAGTTGTGTGAGGTGGCAAGTAAAGCACATAATGTCTCCGCAGCAAAAGTGGAGACCGCAGATGCGTCCAGCTTTAAGATTACAAACGATTTG